AAAAAAAAAATTATGACAACCAAACCAAACCTACACAGAGTACTAAAAGATATTCTAGAAAGGGATCAAAATAACCACAATTCCAAAAATGACAATGGAAAGAACCCACCACACAGGGCAAACAATTAAACACAGGAGAAAAGTAGGGGACCAACAACAAAAAAAATAACATGGCAAACATAAGTCAATACATATGAATTATAACCATCAATGTAAATGGACTCATTTCCCAATTAAAAGAAACAGATTAGCAGAGTAGATTAAGAAGCAAAATCTAAAAATATGCTTTATACAAGAAATATATTTAACCCATAAAGAAATTCATAGGCTGAAAGTCAAAGGACAGAAAACAATACTATGTGCTCCAGGCCCTCACAAAAAAGCAGAGGTAGCTATTCTGTTCACAGACAAGGGCCGGGGAGATGGCTCAGTAGAATAAGTGCTTACCTGGCGAGCATGAGGGCCTGAGTTCAATCCCCAGGTTCCCCCCGCCAAAAAAAAAAAAAAAAAAAGCCAGCTGGTGATTGATACATAGCTGGTCGCAGACAATCTGAACTGCAAACCAAGAATGACCAAATGAGATAAAGAAGATCACCAAATCCAAGGGGAAGAGATAACAATCAAAAATATGTATGCACCAAATATGGGAGCATCCAACTATGTAAAATAAACTTTAACTGACAAGAAAAATCTAATACCAATATCAGAATTATAACAGGGGAACTTAACATCCCTTATCTCAGAAAGATATGGTAGCAGACAAAAAATCAGCAAAGAGGTAGCAGAACTGAACCAAACCTTTGAAAAAATGGACTTAGTGGATATATACAGAATGTTCCACCCAACATCTGAATACACATTCTTTTCAGCTGCAGATGGGATGTTCTCTAAAATAGACCACAAACTAGTCCATAGGTCATATTTAAGTATATGCAAGAAAACAGAAATTATCCCATGTATATTATCTGACCACAGTGCAATGAATCTAGAAATTAACAACAAAAGAAACCACAAAAATTTCATAAACATATGGAAATTTAATAACTCCCTCCTCAGCAACCAATGAGTTACAGATGAAACTGAAGAAGAAATTAAACAATATATACAATCCAGCAAAATTCAAACACAACTTACTGGAATGTTCAGGACGCAATGAAAGCAGTTCTCAGAGGAAAATTTATAGCAGTGAAATCACACATTAGGAAAACGGAACAAGAATAAATACACTAGTATATCACTTCAAACTTCTAGAGAAAGAAGAGCAAACGAAGCCCAAAGCTCAAAGATGGGAGGAAACTATAAAGATCAAATCAGAAATTAATTCAATTGAGATAAAGAAAACAATACAAAGAATTAATGAATCAAAAAGCTCATTCCTTGAAGGATTAAATAAAATTCATAAACCCCTAGCCACCATCCTCAAAAAGAGGAAAGAAAAAAATTCAAATTCAAGCAATAAGGAATGAAAAGAACAAAATTACTACAAATACTGTAGAAATTCAGAAGATCACAATAGCTATTTTAAAAATCCACACTCACAGAATTGAAAACAGAGAAGAAATAGACAGATTCCTAGAAAGGTACAAATTACCAAAACTGAATCAATAAGATATGAGAACTCTCAAGAACCCAATATCAACCAATGAAATATGTAACTAAAAAAAAAAAAACAAAAACAAAAACAAAAAACTTAACCAAAAAGAAAAGCCCAGATCCTGATGGATTCACAGCTGAATTATACAAGAAATTTACAGAAGATATAATCCTAATACTCCTCAAACTCTTCAATGAAGTTGAAAAGGAAGCAATACTCCCAAAATTCTTCCTAAAGACAAGTATTATATTGATAACAAAATCAGAGAAAGTTTCAACCAAAAAAAAACAGAAGTAAAGACCAATCTCTCTCATGAACATAGATATAAAAATCCTCAATACAGTACTAGCAAAGAATATATAGTAAATAATCAAGAACATTATATACCATGTCAAGGTAGGATTCATCCCAGACATAAAAATATTGTTCAACATATGCAAACCTATAAATGCAATATACTGTATTAACAGAGACCAAAAACTACATGATCATCTCAATCAGTACAGAAAAGGCTTTTGAAAGTCAAAAGTCTCATTCACAATCAAAGCCCTACAGAAAACTGGAAAAGATGGCTTATATCTCAATATGATAAAAGTCATCTATGACAAATCAACAGCCAACATAATTCTAAATGGGGAAAAATTGAAAGCTTTTACTCTCAAATCAGGTACAAAAGAAGGACATACACTATCATCACTCCTGTTCAATATAGTTCTGGAATCATTAGCTAGAACCATTAGACAAGAGAAAGAAATAAGAATAGGTAAAGAAGAAATTATACTATCATTATTTGCAGGTGACATGATATTCTATTGGGAAGACACAAAAATTCTTTTTCCACCAAGAAAGTCCCAGAATCAATAAACAAATTCAGTAGCATAGCAGGAAACAAAGTCAATACACAAAAATCAATAGCATTCCTCTACACCAATAACAAACTCACTGAGAGAGAAATTAGAGAAAAAATACCTTCCATATGGCATCCAAAAAAAATGAAATTCTTAGGGATTAATCTAACAAAAAAATTAAAAGATCTATACAATGAAAATTACAGTTTTCTGCCGAGTTCCGGGAGCCCCCAGACCCAGTCCTAGCCCAGGTCCGGGGAGTGTGCGGAGAGCTTCCTGCTACCCTGCACCAGCGGGACCAGTACCAGCCCAGGCGCAGTGTGGGCCGGACCCTCTCCCAG